GGGTGGTTTGGGTTGTTTTTGGGGGGGGGGGGTTTGAACTACAATGGAATTAAAACTGAAAGGTCAACCACTGTAAAGAGCTGTAGCAATTAGAATGCCCAAGTACTGTTTATAACAAAGCTTTATATAAATATAAATCTTATAGAGACTTAGAACTACTATCAGTCAAAGAGAATTAGAGCTCAGAATAGTTTTAAATTGTCTTGGATAGAAGAGAATGACATTTCCTGTAGTTACTATGAAATTAAAATTATATTGCACTTAGTATACTTGAGTATTAACTTGCACTTTTTAAAAAGTGATTTAATATGTTGAATGTATAAGTAACATCATCATGTTTATATTGGAAAGTATGATTTTACATCTACAGAAAACTGCCTAGCTAGAGCAAAAGGGTCTATTTAATTATATGTTACTGAAAAGAACTCCTGAAATCTAAAATTCATATGCTTACTTAGTGACCCTATAGCTGAAAAATTACAGAAGAAAATAAGTTTGCTTCTAATACAGCATTTGGGGTTTTTTTGTAATAACTAGACATTTTTATTGTTTTTTTACATTCATTTATTCAGAAATTATATTGTGGGAATGACTAGATTGGACTCAGTTAAACTAACTGTTATCTTTTCAGCCTTTTCTCTTTGATTAAATTCAGCAGATTTCATTTCCCCCCTGCCCCACAAATGGCTAGATTTTGAGCACTTTGGTGAAAAAGCAGTCCTGTGTTTTCCCATCTTATATTTGTCCCCTTTTGCTCCCCACAGACTTCAGCAAGGGTTTATTCCTACATCTGGTGCAGTGGTTTGAGAACTGATCCATTAAAACTAACATGGCAAATGAAAGGTTATTTCTAGCCTTGGTGTAGTTGACCGTAGAAGTGTCCATGCTGGCACAAGTGGTTGAATTGAAGAAAGGTGACAACAAATTTTTTGGCAGCGGTACCAGCACTGCTCAAAGTCATTCTGAAACTGGAGTTTAGGGTTGCTTGTTCATCTTGATAATTATTAGAATTTAATGAAGGGAATATGTTTGTAACAGCTCTCTTTTGAAAACTACAAATAACTTCAAGATGACATATACTTAGAGTAGATATTTTAGAGTAGATAATTCTGTCTTACCCTGATACATATTGATATTTGGGGTTAAAAAATAGATAAAATGACCAGCTTCTTATCATCTGTCCTCAGTGATGATGACGTAGAAGAAGCTCATCCAATGGATGGAAATGATAGTGATTATGATCCCAAAAAAGAAGCCAAAAAGGAGGTAACAGATAGCTTAACGGTGAATGTCAGTTTGTTTGTTTTCTGTGAATGTGTTGCTGTGAAGAATATGACTTCTAGTAAAGAGGTTTGGCTTGCAGCCTGCTGAATTCACAGGGGTTTTAGGTGATCAAGGTCTCGACAAGTTCTGATTGAAACAAAATTTTATCATATATTTTTGCCATTCTGTGGACTTAAGTGCATCTCTCATTACCTTCACTATCTCCTGAGAGATCTTCAGGTTTTGTAAAAGATGTATGCTGTAGCTACTAGGTAAAACAACATGCCCTCTACCTTTGTCTTGTTAATATGTTTACAGTTTTAGTGGTTGTGAATTATTGGAAACTAAATGTTTTGTTTGCATTTTAAAATTAAATTACATTTTTCCAAGAACAACTTCTTTTGTTCTTTCAAAGCCACAGTGAGGTTATGCATTTCAATTAATGTGTGCCTTTATTGAGACGCTTTCTACTAATAAATGTAGACAAAACCATTTTTGTCTCCTCTAATGAGCACTGACTGTTAGCTTTACAGATGAGTGCTGTGTCTGGGGTATGTTCAGGTTTTGGGTTTTTTGAGGGTTCTTTTGATAAATATTTATGAACAGTTAAGTGTGTGAACACTTGATTGTTTCCTCAATCAACTTAATGCATTTGTGATTTTCCTAAAATGGTAGAGATCATGCTTCTTGAGAATATGAGAGGTAGTGCAAAACTTCAACATTCCCATGAAGTGGTATCTAGGATTATTAATAAAACTTTGCAGTTCTACCAAAAATGATGTTGAGTAAGAGACTGATAGGTTGAGATTCCATTCTCAGCTTTGCAGTGACTTTCAATGTATCACTTTATCTAACTGCCTCAGGGGGGGAAAAAAGGACAATTACAATTAACCCTTTCTCTAAAAGGAGTTGAGATTTCTATTTTTTTAACATGCCCAGGATATGTTCTTTTAGAATTTGAAATGGCACAAGGTCCAATAATGAACATTACTACTTTTTATTCTGCTGTTGTAACAATATTCTTGCAATCTGTTGATTTGAGTTGCTGCCTAAGCCACTTCTAAATAAAGGTTATTTTGTTCAATTTACTTTCCTTAGTTATTGTTTGAATCACTACACACAGTCCATAATGAAAGTAGTGTGTTCATAGACTTCTAGGACAAATAGGTTTGCAGTTTCTGATGAGCTATTTGGATCTACATAAGATAATTTCGTGATCTAGTATTTCTGGTAGGATTTGTGTACTTTCACTTCCTAAGCAAAATATAAACTGGGTAGGCTACTTGAACATGCAGAGCAATGGAAACTTTCTGTTACCAGAGAAAACTAAAACAATCCAAACACTCTAGCTTGGCAAGAGAATATTTTCACTTTAAATCCAGATTGAACAGACAAGACCTGCAATTTCATACTGAAAGAGCAATGCAGAACCAAAAAACAAATAGTATAAATTGGTCAGAGGTAAACTTAACCTTGGGATTTTTAGATGTCGAAGATGTAAGGCTCTATATCAGCTTTCCAAGAAAGAGCAAATATCTTAAGTGCTTTTAAGATTGCCTCTATGAAGTCTGTGGACTGGATTAAGATGTTTCATTAGCTGGGAAGAGGATGTGGCAGAAGGTCAAGCATAGTAGAGCAAAATACTGTCTGCTGATCTGTACTAATGCTATGGAAAATAATAATGGCTGCTGCAATTGGTTCTCTCTTCACTGTGATCAGATGACCACCTCCTCTTAACCTCCATAGGTACCAGCAGAGAGGAGCAGTAGGGAGCTGCTTGAAGTAGCAAAAAGCCTGAATCCCATCTCTGTTCTGGTACTTAGCATTGCTTTGAATTGGAAAATCCTTGCAGGGAAAGTCATTTTTGCTTCTCTACTCCTGGTCTGTAGGGAACATACCTGGTTGCTCTATGGGAGTCATGTACATGCAGACTAGCTGTTGTGCAGCAATGCGCATTGAAGACAAAGCTGACATTTTTAGGTGTCCAAACATATCAAAACAGCAGCTACAAAGATTGCATCTCCTCTTTGCTATCCCTTTCCACTTCAAAAAAGTGAACAACAAAGGCTTAAGTTTCCTAAATTACATGAATTTTTATAATGACTGCAAAAGTAAATCCATCCTCTCTCTTCTAAATCTGAAGTCCCTTCCCAAAGCAAACAGCACTATCGCTTTCCAAGTTAAGAGTACTTGCAGCAGGGAAAAGTGTCATCTTGCATTCTTGCCAGTCCTGGTTGACTTCCCCTCATTCTTCTCCCCTGATTTTCACTTGAACTCCTCATATCTGACCAGAAATAAATGTGTAAATTCACTAATTACTTGGTTTAAACACTTTTTTATATATATACATATATTTTTTTCTTTACCTTCCATTTACATAAGAGGTTCTTGATTTTTGCCCTCTTTCACAGTGTTCAGACTGTGATTTCTATACCATGTATTGTACTTTCAGCCATGTTAAAAAGAAAGGAGGGGGGAGTTTTGAAAACTTGCCTTTCTATGAGTAATGGAGGCTTATCCAGCAGATGACTGGTATGCTCCATCAGCTCATCTGCAAGACTTGGTTTGGATACTACATGCAGAGGAGGATGTTAGCTTAAGTTTTCTTGGTCGCAAATATGACATTACAATGCTATATGATACTTTATTAAAGTTGTATATAAGATACTGTTATTCTTTAATGATTTATTTCTTGTAAATTAAAGGGCAATAATGAGCAGCCTGTTCAGACCAGCAAAATAGGTCTGGGTAGAAGAGAGTATCAGAGCTTGCAGCATCGTCACCATTCTCAGCGTTCCAAATGCCGTCCACCAAAAGGCATGTACCTGACCCAGGAAGATGTGATAGCTGTTTCCTGTAGTCCCAATGCAGCCAACACAATTCTTAGACAGCTGGATATGGAACTAATCTCATTAAAGCGACAGGTACCATGGGCTATTGGTCTTGTTTTGTTTTCATCTCAGATTGTTCTGATTGTAATGATTTTGAAGATTATCTGTGAAGATTCTGAAACTTCTTTAATGTGAGTCTTCCTAATTTTGTTCCACAGTTATCACCAGAAATGCTGGACACTAGCTGACTAGCTGTTCTTTGGTTTTGTTTTTTATGTTCATCTGCCTTTGTGGATAACATGAAACAAGATGACTTCCTTTAAAAAAAAAAAAAAAGTGTGGGGGGAGTATGGCATGAAAACAATGTTACAGATCTGGGAACAGGAGAAAACTGAAGTCACCTTTGATTTGATTTTTTTTTTTTAACTTTGTTAAAAATATTTGTGTGACAAGTGAGAATAAGACCAATGAAGCAGTGGAAGTTATGTTTATTATGCTTAAAATTGTAGCTGTTTTTCTGGATGTCCTTCCCCACATGCCATGAAAGTTTGGAGGGAGGGAAATCATGGGCCTAGTTATTTCTCTGTTTGAATTGATGAGCTTTCTACTTCTTATTAAATTTAGAAAAGCGTTGTAGTCTTCACCTTTAAGAGGACAATTGCCTGCATCCTTTGCATGAAGAAGTTAACTTTCAGTGCTTAAAGTTGAAACACAGAATCTATTCACCTTCTACGGGTACAGCCGTATGTGCATGCTTGCTTTCTAGGAGCGATGGGGCTACAAAGTCAAGGCTTATCTCCTGGAATTTCTGCCTCCCTGTAGATGGCTAAGAGCTGCCATGTTGCAAAATCATGGAGTGAATAAAGAGTTCTGTGGGGTTTTTGCTCCCTTGTATTCTTTTACAGGAGAAATGCTTCTTTCTGTCACAGCAGGACTCTGGGGCTAAATAGCATAGGTGGGTTTCACTCTTTAGCCTAAGTGTAGGTGAGTTACAGCCTTGAGGTTGTGTTTCTCTTTTTTTCTTGCAGTGATCTCAGAGACGCAGCCTTTGGAATCTCCCATGAGTTGTCTGCTTTTGTGTCCATACTTAAAGAACACTTGTAATAGCTGTGCACCGTAGTATGCAAAACTATTTTCTTACCTATGTTACCTTATGTGCATCACTGTCAGGTTTAAATGGTTAATAGATATGTACATGTACGATTTGGAAGCTCTCTCCTTTTTATAGACTTAAGATATTTTATTTAAATATTTTAAATCATTTCAAGAATCACTCTGAAAGGAAATCATGATGATCTAAGGTCAATAAAAAGCAGTCTGTCAGAAGGAACTAACTGGAAACATCTCATAAATCTTTATGGGTTTTTTTTAAGTGCTTTTTGGAGAAAGAAGTTAATGTATACGGTACATCTCACTTAGATTTCTAAGAACCAAGTTTTATGTCTAGAATATTCTGCATTCTTCTTCAAGAGCATATGCATCATTATCAAAACTTGCTTGTTATGTCCTACTTTTAATATTCCTGCAGACAAACTGTTCTTTTTGAAAGACTGGCTTAAATATTTTTCTCTCCGTAGTAAACTGTGCTGTATTTTTTTAATTTTTTTTTAAACAGTTAAAAGTAGTGAAGCCTTAAACCATAATATTTCTCTTTCTAACTTAGGAGGTACACTTGTGGCAATCCTAGTGAAGATATATGTGTAAAGTGACCAACTTTCTTTGTGGAGCTGATTAACTTTGTTGTTTTTGACCAAGGTTCAAAATGCTAAGCAAGTAAACAGTGCACTTAAACAGAAAATGGAAGGCGGGATTGAAGAATTCAAACCTCCTGAGGTAAATCAGAATAAATATTAGAACTTGTGGCCTTGCACTTACATTAGTGGGAAGCTACAGAAATGTGTTTTGCTGCAGCACAGTGTTTGCATTTCAGCAGCCCCTTAAACAGGATCCATTGAATTACATGCAGGGGTGAGTCTGTCTGGCTTCTTTACAAGAAATTAGTGGTAGGTGGAAGCATAAGAAACTGGAATGTCATGTCTGTTCATGACTACAGGGAGCTGAAATTGAGCCCTGATATATGGTTTTTTTTCTGATTAAAAGTAGCTAATGTAGATTGCTAGCAGTAAATTCTATGTTCTGTGTGCAAACATGACTATATATACATTTGGGCATCCAAAGTGAATAATTTATTCAGTTCTCTCTTTGCTTGTTTTAAAGGCTTGGATATGAAACATAACGTGAATGCAAAACACTCCGGACACCAAGTCCTAATAGTTTAGATAAATGTAACTATAAATTCAAATTCTGTCTGCATAAAGATCATTAGCTTGTGCATAAGTTATGATATAGCTGATATTAAGGACTGCAGTAAAACAGAGGAAAAACTATTGATGTAGTTCTAAGCTCAAATCCTTAAATGGAATCCTGTTCATGAAAGCAATCTTAAACTGTAAATTTACGGCTTATAAGCAAGAGATTTTTACCTATGTTACAAAATGCAGTGCAAGTAAAACACATTCTGATGCTCAGATATTTTGCAGCTGTGAAACATTTTAATGATCTTTGTGCCATTTTTCTAATTTTAATAGTCTAATCAGAAAATCAATGCCCGTTGGACCACAGAAGAGCAGCTTCTTGCAGTACAAGGTATGTTAATAGTAGTAGCGACTTGAAATCTGATGCAAAGGATCTGAAGAGGTACTCAGGTTTATGTTTGTATTTCCCTCTAATGAAAAGCTAAACTTCATCTAGTCTTACAAGAAAGTCACTGGGAAAACAGCAAAACTAGTGAGAATATTTAGGGCATTCATTCAAGCAACAGGACACTAGTCTTTCAGTTACCCATATTAAATCTCAAATAGAGAAGCTAAGCTGGGTTTAACAACTGTAGTAGTACCAATAAGTCCCTTCAATGATCTTCTAAATCACTTTACATTAATTTCTCTAGAGTGGAACACTGAAGGAATAGTTGAAGTAATAAAATTTGAAGCAAACACTTAAGACATGTCTCCGTATTCTTTAAAGTAGGAAAAAGCGGAAGTAAAACTGCTATACTGTTACTTTTCTCTGTTCACGAGGGAATAAAAGAGCAGATATCTACGCAGTGGAGGCCTTTTAAGAGTCTGAAGCTGGATATGGATACTTGACTAACAGTCTTATTGGAGAAAGAAGCAAGATTTTCTAGTTGGCTATTGATACAGCTAATTGACAGTTATTTAATTTATATGAAGGAAAACAGACTCTCGTCTTGCTTTAACATGCACTGCCTAATCAAGGAACATGCAAGGGAAATACCTGGAGAGCTTAATGCTGTCTTGAAGTCACTATATATTGACTCACTTCTATGGAACATCTTTTTAAAGATAATATAATCAGCTCAGTTATACACATCAGCTTTATTTCCCTGTATTCTTTACCTCCTTTAAAATGAAAGACGGAATTTTAGTATAAAACTTTCAGTCAGATCAGGATATCAGTGTAAAGTTGTCAGGTGTGCCAGACCTGGTAGTTATTAGCCAGATGACTGAACGTAAAGTTAGGTTTATTTTGAAGTGTGAATGGAAATGCTGAAGAGCATGGTGTGTCTGAAGTCAACTTACATGCCTCAGACTGGGATTTGCATCTCCAAACTGTTTTCTGTCCTAAGTTCATCCTCTCAGTATTGCTAACATGCTCACTTTTTTATTTTCTTCCCAAATGCAACTGAAGGAGATGCCTATCTTTAATATGGTAGTCTAGTAAGGAGAATGCTTGCTGGAGAAGGGGGGGAAATCCAGATTCATTGTGCCTGCCTTAGCATGAAAGGATTCAAATCATCTTGCATTTTCATAGTTTAGTTATCAGAGCTCTCACTAAGCATCAGTTTGGGAAGCGATAAGAGTGCATTGAGCTTTTGTTAAGCTATGGCGCTATGTGACTGACAAGGTAAATAATAAAACTGGAGCATGGGCAAAAGAATGAGGGTTGGTGATCACTCCCTGGAGAGGAGTTCTAGTCTTCAGGTCTCTTCTTTAGGGAATGTTTCATGTTTTATAAAGGTAGTCAGCCTCACTACTTTAGTGTGGGGTGAGAAATCAGGCCTTCTGGAAGAAACCTATTTTCATTGAATTTACATGTGCTTCTTATATGTATTGTTTGCTTTTTCGTCCCCTTCCTTTGCCACTGTATAAAATGGAGATGGGAGAGCACCTTAACACCCAGGGACAAAGTATTCTTATTGTCTCTCCCTTGCCTACTGCCTGGTAGTAGAGTCTCCCTCCTGGAATGAGAGTGCTATAGGCATTAACCTCCTGTCCCTCAGGCTATGGACCCTGATGTCTTGTTTCAAAATAATTGCTTGAGCTAGTAGACTTATGCATGAAGGAGCCACGCTGTCTTTTGCCCTGACTCTGTTTTTAAAAGAAAGTAGCCAAGGTTGCTGTACTAAAAGCTGCCATAATATGTGTTAGGCTTGAACTTGAAGTTGACTTAAGCATGGGGACATTGAGTTTGTACGTTTAAAATAGATCTATTTTATCAAATGTATTGATACGTTTTGGCACGTGCTTTTAATCATTTTACAGAAATCATAACCCTTAAGCAGGTAGGTGGCACTTCTATGATTTGTTCACTTGAATTCAGACGTTAAATCCTACCATGGAAATCATAGAAAGTAGTCTGCAGTAATACAATTTTGGTACTGTTTTTCCTAAACATGAAAAAACTCTTGTCATCTGTGGGCTAATCTCAAGAGATTGGCAGTAACTAAAGAAAAGGTAATGAAAAAACCCACCTTAAAATAGAGCTGAGTGTGTGATCTTAAAAGCAGCGTGGCTGCCCGCAGTGGGGTTGTGGACTCAGACTTATGATCTCTGAGCCGATCTTTTGCAGTATAAGTTGTCAGGTTACTGTTCAACTTTGTCTCAATAGTTATTGAATGTAATGGGCCAGTTCATCACTTGAGGTGTTCTTAAGTTACAAACTTTATCTATGTGTAGAAATGTATGAGCATGATCATCTTTTCAAACTAAGATCTCAGCCATATGAAAATTGCAATTGCAAAAATGTTTTAAGACTTGCTCAAAACAACAAAATTTGAATTGAAAAGCAGTACATGACTTTCATAGCATTGCAGTGGAAAACAGCTGGGACAACCAGGATCTAACTCTATGTAAGGGAGTTGCCAGGAGCACTGTAATCCCATCACAGTGAAACTGCAGCTTTCATAATCTGGAGGTTGCCGTTAACTATTTCTGCCTCGTTGTGGTGCTGTATTATATTGCTTTGGACCCAGGCTAATGTTTTGTTAGCAGCATTAAGCAGCGTAGACAGCATCAAACTTGGATTTATGAATTTCTCTTGAGTTAGACATGAAAGATGAAACGTTGTAATAGTGAGCACGCACACCTTCAAGTGCACCTTTGCCACTGGGCAAAGTTTTGAAGAGCCTGAAGGACCCCCATGATCAGGGCTACTTTCAAATGAGCTGGGAGAAAGACATTCATACATGTGAAGTGAGGCTATGCAGTCATCTTCTGAGCTTCGCTTTCAGCAACCTACTAAAATTATTCAATAACAGATTAAACCCTCTAGAAATAATTTGGGTGGTGTTTAGCACAGAGTTTGTAGAAGGATGTGTAAGTAATATGCACCAATTTGAAAGGGATGATGAGTTGGCATTAACTCTTACAGATATGCCAGCACCTTACACATAAAACTTTCATAAACATGTATTGAACTTCCTCTGTTTCTGTTGCAGCTTGAAAGGGTTCTACTACATCGTTGTGTAGAAGTCATGCTGGTGATGCTAGAGCAGTACTACATAACGCTCCGAAAAGAATCCAAAATGAGTAGTGCTGTGTGTAGCTAAACGAAGGAAGTTTTATTTTCCTTAGATAGTTCTTACAGTTGGGCTCTCAGTGAAGGCAAGATACATTGTTTTCAAGCTGTTTGCTTGGAAATAGGCTTTAAGACCTTATTTTTGACAGCTTTAATTGAAGTTAGCCAACAGGCTTAGTCGTTTTGCAGATTAAGGGGAAGGAAGAAGTATAGACAGCACAGTAACAGAAAAGGCTGAAATCAGTAAAAGTCTGAATTAGGTTTCAAACAAAAATGTGCTTTGTTCTGCTGGGTACTTCATTCACTTGATTAATTCTACAGAATGTTAGATATGTTGCAGTGGACATTTAATGATCATTATAAATTAGTAAGGGTGGTAATGGTAGGGCAATCAAAGAATATTAAAACACTGGAGGGAGTACTCTGTGGGCGCACGCAGCTTTTAAGGAGTAGAGCTGATACCTTGTACAACTGATAAAGCACAGAGCCAAATCCCTGTCTTCGCTTTGCCTGGATACATGCCCTCCCACATGGCTCTGCGAGGTCTCTTTGTTTTCTTTTCAAGGTTCTTGCAGTCAGGATAGTTGGATTCTTTTGTATGCCCCAGAAAAGATCTTCAATAATGTAGCTGGGCTCTTGACAGCTGAAACATCAGCTTCAGCTACAGAAATTGTTATTATCCTAGAGCTGAACTTTTCTCTTAAATTGCAGTGAGTATACATTACCACATCAGAAGTGCCCATTAACGAAGAAAGTAGAAAAGAGCAGAACAAGCTGAAGGTCATACTCTTCACAATTAGGTTGAAAAGTAACATAGCTTTAAGATTTGAAACAACTCTCCCTTTCTGAATCCTTTGCTTCACTTTCTGAAGTGAGGCATGAAATCAGACATAAATTTCTCTTTCTGTAATGAGACAGAGTGCCTGTGCTGTAAGCACTGTAATATGTTCCGAATGAGTTTAGTTATCAGGAGCTTCACAGAAGGAGTCAAACGGTAATTCACTCGTGCATAGCTGAGAGCAAAAAATGAGCCTTCCGTTTACTGAGCCTGGAATAAAACTCTGTTTTATTTCTTCTAGTCTCCAAACTTTTGGACACTTGTGATTAAAAATATACTTTGTGCAGCTAAAAGCTGTGGTTTAGGATGCTGGAGAGTTTGAAGATTTTTTTTTTTTTTCTCTTAAGCAGGAGAGAGGAGGAACTAGACACATACCCTAAATACAACTGAGAAAATCCATAAACTTTAGATTATAGTTCCAATTTTAGGTTAAAAACTACAGAATGCTGTACTCAAGGGGTTTTTTTTGTGTTATATGCAAATGTAGTTTTAGAACTTTAAAAAGCACATGTTGGGATTTTTGGAAAGGACAAGCAGCATTTTCTTGTGAAGTGCTTGTAAACAAGAGCGACCTACTGATGTCAATATGAAAATGAATGAAAGGAATGATGCAAAGATCGTCTGTCATGCTGCTTCTTGCTGGGGGATTTGATCCTGGAGGCTTGTGCTGGGCTGTCTTATAAACAGACACTAATAGCTTATATTTACTTACATTCCCCAAGGTGGTTGTTCCAAAACCTCAGATTCTTCTACCGAGCTCAAATGGTGAATGAAAGCTTTAAAGACTTTGTCAGGTGAATGCTTGCCGGTTGCTCTTCATAGCCTTAGTAGAGCATGTCACAAGTGGAGGAATGAGCAGTATATCGTGACTTATGGAACTGTGCCCCCCTGTTCTCCCCTGCACTTGGTCCAGTAGCTACTGCCCTCTACCACTCCTGCTGCACAGGTGTGAGCAAAGAAACATCTGCATGCAGCTGGCATGGAAGGAACCTATAGAAGCCATCAACATTTGTCACTTGACATTTCTAGTGTTATACCCTGTTTACAGCTGTGTACACATGCTTGGTCACCCTCTCTCCCCATCTTGAACTTGTCTTGGGCTTCTGCCCTTACTGCAAGCACACTGAAGGACTGACTTTATTCATCAGAGGCCAGATCTCTGGTTTTAGGTTGGGAGGCTTGGTGAGTAAGCCAGGATCTTTAAGAAGAGTGGGTAATGACCTTTTAATAAAGTTCTTGATTTGTATGTTGATAGCTGTGCAATTAAAAATTATTTTGTTTTAATGGAAATTGAGGCCTTCTCCTAATTGAGAAGTCCTCCTAATTAGTGAGTCCTTGGTTTGCAGGTCCCATAGGTTCTCTCTATAAATACAACACACGTAGCTGTGTCTGACTGATTCTTCACAGCTATGTTATTTACTTTGCCTTCCAGGTGTCCGAAAATATGGTAAAGATTTTCAAGCTATTGCAGATGTAATTGGCAACAAGACTGTTGGCCAAGTGAAGAACTTCTTTGTAAACTACAGGCGTCGGTTTAACTTAGAGGAGGTATTGCAGGAATGGGAAGCGGAACAAGGAACCCTGGCTTCTAATGGTGATGCTTCTGCTTTAGGGGAGGACACAAAAAATACTTCTAATGTGCCATCAGGAAAGAGCACTGATGAAGAAGATGAGGTGTGTTTTGTGTACCAGAAATAAGTAAGCATGGGTTGAGGAACAGCATTTTATTTAGTGATATAATGTAAGGTTAACTGGTGTGGAGTGGCAAACCGCATTCTAAAGAATGATGATGAGCTTGCATAGAACTTCAGCCAATGTCGTTAACCAGCTGGGAGCAGGACTGCACCTTTCATAGTGACGATCACGTTACTGTTTTATTGTTAAAATACAGTTCTTGTTCTAGAAAGAAGACTCTTGCTTCATAAATATTTTTAGTTCTGCTGTCTATAATGTTTTGGTTGGTGATTTCTTTTCAGTAACTTCTCAGTTTTTTGTTTTTGTTTTTTAAATGCTGTTTCCTGTGTAGTGGACAGTGGCAGCCCAACTGCATCGCGTTCTGGCTGGGACGGCTGTTCACGCAGTCTTGTCTTTGTCCTTTGTGCAGGCACAAAGCACTCCGGCCACTCAGTGTTTAGGCCCTTCACCTCCAGCACAGGCATCTGCTCCAGCACCTACCGCTCCCATGGCAACTTTAAATCAGCCGCCCCCGTTACTTCGTCCAGCGCTTCCTGCTGCTCCTGCTCTCCATCGTCAGCCTCCGCCACTTCAACAGCAGGCGCGATTTATTCAGCCAAGGCCGACTCTAAATCAGCCTCCCCCACCGCTCATCCGCCCAGCTAATTCCATGCCTCCTCGTCTAAACCCAAGGCCAGTGTTAACCACGGTTAGCAGCCAGCAGCCACCCTCGCTCATCGGAATTCAGACAGAATCCCAGTCCACTCTGCACTGAAGAAATAAAGCAGAATTATGCTAACTCCTACATTTGAAAAATTATATCAATGTACTTTTTTTTTCCAAATAATGAAGGGGAGAAAAGAGCAAGCCTTCACAGGTATCAGACCAGTTTTACAGAGGAGCAAGCTAATAACTAGAAATGGAACCACGTGAATGACCACCTGTATAAAAATATTTTTATGTCGAAGACTTGTACAGCAGAACAATGCCTACGATACAGCCCTCCTCTATATGAATAACTGTTGAAGGAAGCTAACTTCTTAAATGAATAAATGTTCAACACACCAAGATTTTGTTTAACTGATTTTTACTCTATTTATTTTATTACAGTTCTTTGTAGTCAAGCATCTAACTACAGGAAAGTAGTCTGGCAAATCTAGGAATAGATAATATTGTAGGAGACTTAAATGTAGCGTTGGGGTTTTTGTGTGTGTATGTGTGTGTTTTGGTTTTTTTGTTTGTTTTTTTTTTTTACTTTTTAGTGAAAAAAAAAAATGGCCTTCGGTTCAGAATCTTTGGCCCTGTTTAGACAACAGTAGGAGCATTTCACGCACTTGTAAAATGTAGGTGTTTCTTCTCTTCATGTTTTTCCCAGAACATTTTTCTTGTTTAAAAAGGTACTGTCTTATTAAATACTCCTCTGAAAGAGTATTCTGAAGACTCAGTGAGCTATTGTACCAAACCTACTAAATCTCACGCCTGTTCTACTCATAGAAGTTAACTGAAAACAGGAGTCCAGTTCCCTGCTGCAATCTCTCTTGTGGGCTGGCGTGGAGAGAGAGACAGTAACTCCCACCACCCAGGGGGATGACAGGAGAGGAACCATATAGCAAGAACCATTAATTTAATTTGTTATTCCACTAATTCTTCTAACTTAAGTACAGTAGAATTTCATTCCTCTGAGAATGCCTGTCTGCAGTTCACACATATTAGATCATTGATACCTTGCCTAAGAATTCATGAGTGAAGTATAGAGGCTGATGGTGGTAGTAGAATATTGTGGCAATAGAGTTACCTGCTGCTGGCCCAGTCTTACTGTTAAATGATTATTTTTGATTTCTGCTATTTCTGGTGGAGTTGTTAGCTGGGTTGAGGCTGGGGCAGTGGGGGGGAGGGTTGGTTGTTTTGTTTTATTGATTAAGTAAAATCTGCATTTGGGTATTAATTATTGTTTCCAAATTTTAGGAGATTGAAAGGTTTTCTTTCCACTGCATTCATTAAACTGTTCCTGAAACCTTGATTTATGCCCAGCAGTGTTCTGGGGGGTTGTTTTAGTTTGTGTTTTTGTTTGGGGTTGTGTTTTGGTTTGGTTTGGTTTTTGGTTTTTTTTTTTTTTTTTAAAGTAGATCCCTCTACCCTCCAAGTAAAGCAGGCTGCAAATTTGAGTAGCAGTGTTTGAAACCGTGTGATCTGAATCAAGCTATTGAAAAATATTGCATTCTTGACTATGTAATGACATTCATGTTGACTACCATACTATTGTAGAAAATTATTATTGCTTATAGCTGAAATGATGTTTGAAAATCCTTTTAAATCCATTCTGTTATTAACTAGATTTGCCCTTGACTAAAATGAGACTTTATTTGAAAATGGAATGTGCTCTCCCCAGGCTTTTTCACAGATAAATTGAATGGTCTGACGATCAGTTTAGCAGCTGGCCTAAGTCTTTTTTCATGTGCAAAGGGAAGTTCTTATAGGATCAGATCCTATTTCATTTGTAAATCTAGTATTAAAGTTTGATAGTTGTGGCCTGACTTGCAGTTAAGGTGTTGACCTTTATGGTTTAGTTCTTCATTTAAAAATATTTCCAGACCAAACTTGAGAGACTTTCCTTTCCGAGCAGCTTTCACTAGTGTGCTGAGGCCTCATACAAAAGGTCCTTTTTACAGCTTTTCTTTTGCATCAGAGTAGATGTTTAGCCACTACGTGAGCATCAGATGACCTCTCGTCTAAAAAAAAGCAGCATTGTAAAACAAGCACTGAGGAGTTCATGGTCACTGAAACTTGTGTTCTGGGAGTCGTAAGTGTCCCCTCACCAGCTACACACAAATCTGGCTGCTCTCCAGCCTTTAAAACTGATACAGAACTGACCTGGTACATTTTGATATCCTAAGTATCTCAGTTTAATTGTTAACAGTGATAAGATACATCTTCAGGATTTCTTTTTTCGTTTGTTTGGGGTTTTTTGGGGGTTTTTGGTTGGTTTTTTTTTTTTTTTAGCATTGAGTCTCCCAGTTGTGTGTATTGTACCTTTGCTAATTTTTGTCTTGTCTCTTGTCGATAGACTTCAGTATGCAGAATGTTGGGTGTTGCAGTACAGTTGGCCACCACCAACTGCTATAAAGCTGTTCAGTACATTGTAATTCCGTTTAATCTTGTTTAAATATTCTATAACTGGGCAAAGGTGCTGTATTTGAAGGGGGGAGGGAGGGTCAGAGATAGGTAGTATTTCTTAATTTACATACACTGTAGCACACAGTAGGGAACTCCTAGCATTTGTAGTACTAAATAAGTATGTACATAGCAAAATGTCTTTATTGTGTGCTTTGCAGAATATGTGCATACAGTTTGCACGTCCTGTTTTTGGGGGGTAGGGTTTGTTTTAAGCAGTGTTTGCCTGGAGAGTGATATGCTTGCTGCTTAATCAAAGGATTAAAGTTTCAAAGAAATCTGTGTCTTCTATTTTTATGTACCTTGTAATGGTCTAATATGTTAGGGCCCTTATACTGTGATTCTCTTCTAAATTCATTTATATTTTTTTAAGAATTAGAAATAAAATTATACAACGGTGTTGATTTCAGTGGGGAATTTCTTTTGCCATATCTAGTCTCCTGTTTTGTAATGTAGTAATGAACTCTGACTTCAAGGTTGGCTTAATTTTGTCACTTTAAAAAATGTAAAATGTTTGCACACTAAAGTTTGGCAGAGAACGTGTATCCTACATTGTTCAAAGCTAATGTAACTACAGCTTTTTGTACAGTTTATTTTAGTTAATAAAGCAAAACGGTACTAAAAAATGACAGATTTTACAAATGCAAGGCATAATCTGAACGACGTCTTCTAGGAACAGCACTTATAATATGGATGTACAAGAACTATCAGATTTAATTGTTGCACTTTAAATCAGAATGGGTATGAAGTTAAGCAGGTATTTCTGCATTAATAAAACAATCACTAAACGTTGCACATCATAGTAAAGCAGTTTAATTTGTCTTACAGTTGATCATGAGCAACAGGAATTATAGTTACCTCTGTCCTTAGGATTTTGTTCATCTTTATATCGTTGGGATTTTTCTTAAATCATACAGTGTTTATTCTGGAAACTTCACAGTTCATAGAAAACAGAACATAAACCGGTAGCTTATATATGTGGGAGTTTGTGTATGAAGAGAGCAGAATTGCAGAGTTTAGGGAAGCGTTTAGGATGAAGGTTACCAAAACAATGTTGTTGTGCCTCTTGCTAGCAGAAGGAAGGAATAGATGGAGGTTACAGCTGGTGCTAGGCAGAAATGTGGTTGTCAGGCAAAAGCAAAGCCAGGGCAAAGACAAACTTCTCAAAATTGTTTGCTTAGAGGTACACCTCAAAATGCAAAGGAAGCCAAAGAGGAGTTAGCAGCCGTCGCGTCTCCAGTGCAAAATGGTGCACTCTAAATTGCGCTGAATACACCTTGGTAGTTTTAATAAATGTGGTGAACCTCTGGCTTTTCCTGAGGTTGAAATAGCTAAACCTCAGAGTCTGCCTTTCTCTGAGCGAGTTAAAAGCAGGCACCGTCATGATAGACGTCTGCTTTAAGATCACAGGAAGTTGTATGTGAGATATAAAAGGCAAATATAAACACTTTTAACATCACTTGTAGTCTGTTACTGATGCATCAGGCATCAAAAATCTATAGGCAGGTAGGGCGAAGAGGCAAAATATATAGGCAACAGTATCTGGACTATTTAATGGGCAACTGGTCCATTTTTTATAACCAACATCCTTAAAATGAATACTGAAGTAGAACTTCAGCAGAATAAATCCTCATTGCTGTTACTGACGTGGAAGTTTTCCCTTGGACTGGCACAAAAGGGAGAACTGAGATTCGGGGACTGTGATCTCTACTGCTGCTTCAGGGCGGTGACTTTGTCTTGATGCAAACCAGGTCTCCTGTTATGCTCACTGAATCTTAGGAGTCGTGATTTTTAAAAGTAACACCTGCACCCTGATAGCCGATGATCCATTTGACAGATGTATGTCACCACAAAGCTCCATTCCAGGGAACTGTAATGTTCTGCAGTAGAAGGAGGATCACGAGTGCGGAAAATTTTTGTCGTGGGAACCCAATCCCACCTCCAAAGAAACTATTCATTTAGGTTTATAAATATTTACTTACAGAAATACAATGCCTGTTGTTCTGACAGATGCTCCTGTGAACGTCCCAGACAAATAGTACCCAGACGAATCAGAATATTCCTAAAAGCCACGAAAAAAACTCCCAGTCCTCAATTTTTGCAAGAGGGAACGTTTTAAAAGGTCTCTGTTGTAGTAACGGCCTCTGTACCTTTGCTGGACGCCCAGAATCTTAATGCAATATGGACTGACACCCTTGGGAGAGGCAAGTCTGAGTCATTTTAGCAAAAGAAGAGCCTGAAACCATTTTATTAGTATTATTTTCAGAGCTCATCTTAAGGCAATCCAGATAACACAGCCCAATTGTTTCTTTTTCCGATTGTTTCTTTCTCGTCAGCCTTTGCGCTTCTGTGCATGTGCTAGCGTGGTATTTTCCTTAGAGACTGGTTTTCCTAGAAGTGGTGTAATGTGAAAGACAGAACAAAGTGCAGCAGTAGGTGATGGGGAGCGAGGGGTAAAGCAATTGCAGCAGTAGCGTTGGCTGGAGGATGGCCGCCTTGTCTGCCTTTGTAAAAAATCCTTTGGTATGTCTTGAGTAATTAGTCTTGAGTAATGCCTACTGGCATATGGGAATAGCTAACGTCTGTGTTCTTTGTGTATTTAGCATGGGGTTTGTTTTGCTATTTTGGCAGCATAGATGTAAATAATAAAAAAGAGGAGCTGTATTGCAGGCAGGCAGGCAGGGAGATGGGAGTAGGGTGTATTGCCCAAAGGAGGAGTGGGTGAAGTCTGCTGATCCTCACCAACACGGCGGTGCTCCTCGCCGTGGTCTCAGGAGCCCGT